TTCAACATTTTGGACAGTGAAACATTCATCGCCAAATCGAACAACGAATGAAGTGCGAATGGTTTCTTTTGCATTGATAATGTTAGGGAACTACTATGTGAGGCTAGAGACGTCGTTAAACCGAACTTTGATAAAGGGGTGTTTGTGTGATAGGATCTTCTTTGGAAGGTGTTTTTAGATCCATCATTCGAAAATTTAGATCCATCATTGCTCCATTATCAACCAAATATTGTTGAAATCGATAGAATTCGTTGGGAACTATCTGATTAAAGACAAAATTGTGCTTTGCAAGCAGAATAAACCACAATATCGGCTCACTTCTTAAAAAATAGCATTTCCATGAGAAAAGGACCATCTTTTTAACTTCACAAAAAGGCACCGCATTAATTATTTCTCGTCTGTTTTTTGGATGTGTGTTATAGGCGAAGGTCAAAATCACTTGAAACGTACAACAATTGGTTGGATGGATTGAGAAAAATGTTGATAGAAATCGACAAATCGGTTGTTCAGAACATGATTTTGAAGGTTTGATACATACTTCGAAAAACGAAGACAATGGTCTGTTCAGTGTGAAGTGAATGTGCTATTCGATAGCCTATGAATAAAGGTTTATACCAAAAAAAAAAAAAAAACGAATTTAGTATTTTGTATTTTTTTGTTCAAATGGCGAACATCATAATCATTTTTAAAACCTTATATTTTTCAAACAAAAATATCTTTATTAGGTCTAATGTGAAGAAAAAAAAAATCACTATTTTTTCTGATTTTCTATCTTAAATCATTCAAATATAATAATTTTTCATTGTATATAATTTTATTCTACAATAAAATCGTTCATTTTTGCCTTGTTCATGGCCAAAAATTATGAAAAATATGGCGACAATACATTTGATATACCAAATATTACATAAAATGACCAACGATGTTGAAAGTACATGGAAAGTTCCAAAAAAATGACAAAATGTGTATACAATGTATAATAATAAGATATTCTGAAAATTGTACATACATTGTACTAGAATAAAGTATTTGGTTGAGATATCTTATCTTGTTTGAGATACTAAGATAAGATAGGATAGATACAATATTTTATCTTATCTAGATGATTTTAGAAACAAAAATATTCATCTTATCTTTATCTTATCTTTTGGTTTTTTTGTATCTTATCTTGATTTTTTAATATAAATAATAAGATATTTTGGTCATTTATATAAAAATATCATTAATATAATCATACTGACGATTAATTTGCACATTGAAGCGAAAATGATCAATTTCATGACCTGATTCGTCAAAATTATATTGGAATTCTTCGTTATCAAATTCCATTGCACGCCCATTGAAATCAAGTTGGTTTCATTCAAGAAATTCACCTTCATATTACTTAAATGGCAGAACATATCGATTTGAAGACGTTTATAAGTATTTTGGTCAAAGCATCGTATGATTGTTTGCCATATATCTATCGAAAAGCTAAAACGAACGATTTCCTCTGATAGGACGATAAATAGTGCACAGTAATGCCTATAAAACTACGACCGCGCGCTGACCATACGTCACATGTAACGCATATGTTATTTTGAATTTGTAAAAATCGTACTAGTTCGGCTTTCATATCATCGAATCGTTTTGAAAGTCACGTTATAAATGTTCTCGTACTTGGAAACACAATTTGGCGTCCGGATGTATTTTCCGTATCTTCCAATAATTTTCAGAAGGATGGATGGAAGATAAACATTCTTTTTTCACATTAACATTTATTCAAATAATTTTCGTCATCTGAATTTTTATCTCATCTTTTCGAAAGCTATTTTATATTTTATCAAAAAGATAAGATGAAAATCTTATAAATATATTTATCTAGATATATCTAGATGAATTTCGGACAATTGAGATACTATCTCAAAAGTATCTAGATACATTTCAGATATTTTAACCAAACACTGCTAGAATACAATCGGATCGTCTCATTTACCAAAATCAGTATAATTGTTGTGGTACGTATTATGACGGCACAACCTATCAACCAAAATCAGTACATGAAATATACCGAAAATTTGTGACGATTTAAATTTGTACCATGATGATACATGATATGAGCCAAACCATCACAAAAATATTCTCATTTGCCGCGCGAGTACAATGTATACATATATGTACCAATATATCACGTGAACATCCTATAAACCATCGATATACCGAAAACTGCTTCTTCTTCTTACGCTTCATCTTCTTTTTTCGTCAAATGTACCGATTTTAGTACATCAAATGTTCTGTTTTGTCCCTTACTTTTAGTTACATTCGTTTTTCCTGATCCATTTTTTATGCATTTCGATTAAAATGTATGTCATATTTCAATTTTTATTTAAAAAAAAAAAAACACCGCTGTAGAGGTTTTAAATTTTTTTTTTTTTTCAAAGTTTTGAAAAATTATAAATATTCTTTTGCAATAAGTCCATTCTATATATTTTGTAAATCGAAATTATCCTCGTTTTTTCAAAGATTTCTATAATTTAGGAAAATTACAACTGCAGAAATTGAAACATACAACTGCATTTTTCAATTTTAGAACTGCAGAAAAAGATACTAACTGCAGCTTAAAATAGTCTCTGCGCACAAATAGCAAACAAAAATAATAATACGTCTTCGGTATCGGCAAAGACAATACTACGTGTGGCAGTCATTGTATATACAAAATTCCTCTATCAGAGATAGCACTGATGATAAGAAATAATCACAATTTTATCTGTAAAAGTCATAAAACATTCATTTAAAATAAAATCGAATAGAATTTTGGTGTGAAGCAAACAGATTTATTCATGATTTGAACCGTTAATATATTTGGGATTTTGTGTTCATTGTCTATTGAATAAATTCCTGACCATTTCGATCAAATGTAAGCTCTTTGTAATCAAAGTCAATTTCAGCTGAAGCAACTGAAATACTAGCTGAAATACGTGACAATCAAACGATTTCGTTCAATGACCACTTTCAATTTTTGATAACTCTTCACAGCATAATAGAAATAAATCAAGCTAACACACTGAAATTGTATCAAATATTAAGTTGAATAAGAATATATGTTATATAGAGTCAAAAAAGACTTACCAAATATGAACAATTGAACATAGCAACTAAAAAAGTGAAGATATTCTCACGATCTGAGTCATTTCCAATCAAAAGTAGTATAAAAAATTTGGAAAAATGTTGGAAATTGAGTAAAATGAAGCCAAATACGAAATAAAAATAAAAATACCCAGGAAAGGCAAGTATGACTATGAAAATTATCCAAAAATAATTATCTAAATAAAATCAAGCATAATACATTCAATCAACCAACCATCCAAATTTCTTTGCTGCAAATTTACATTCACTGGGTTTTTTGATTGTGTTTTTACCATCAGTCGGTTTTTTTATTGAAAATCATTGAGCGAAATTCTGAAATGAAATTTAGACGAGACTCAAAACTGTGGAGCTAAGTAACAGTAGCACTTTGCATACACTGTTTGAACTTAAATATATGCCAAAAACAGATTTTATAATTTTCGGTGTCTCTTCTTCTATTTGAACACATTCGGAACTCACAGTGCGTAATATTGTACCCGCTGATGGAAGAACAGTCTGAACTTTCAGAATTATTGAACAAATTCATTAAGTACGCTTTCAAATTGAATAAAAATCTGTAGTTACAAACAGCATAAGTGTTTGAATTTATGTTAAATAAATGAGAAAATATTTGGTAAATAAATGGAATAAAGATAAAACCAACAATGATCCTTTTACTTTTCCATCCACACGTAGTGTGAAGGGTTTGTCTTGTAATGGAGCTAAAAAATAAAAATTCTCGAAATGCTCGGAAATGACCTTTTCTGAGTTGAGGATGAAAAAATAATCGATTTGAGACCAGGTTGTTGTGGGTATTTTCCTGAGACCAGGTTGGGCTGACCGTTTTTGTTCACCCATTATCTCTTTTCTCATAATAGTTTTTTTTTAATCTGATTTTATAGGATGGTTTGGAATATTGAGGAATAGATACCATTAGATTTTGGACCATTAGTTAATGTAAATTGGAATATTCAATTTATTTTTTTCAATTCATTGAATTGAATTTTCAACTACCATTTACATTCAAATTGGGAAATGAATTGAAATTCATTTCAATTGCATGAAGTTGCAGCTAGGGGGTAGATACAAACTAGAAAACTAAAAAAACTAAGAAAAATTAGGACTTATTAGGTCCTGTCAATGTACACGTTATATGCAATTTACTAAAAAAAACTAAGAAAAATTAGCAATAGTAAAGCCCGTGTCTCCCCCTAGAGTTGCAGAGATTCTAGTTGGCTCTCATATTACTATTTTCGATTGTTCTGAATTTTTTTTTGGCGTCAATTCATTCATAATAGCATTTTTAATGTAAATTAAAATGTGTATATATTTAAAATTAAATATTTATAAACAAATTAAAAAAATTGAAATTGAAATTGTTTTCATTGCCGCGAGTTTCAATTATTTAATTTATTATTGACACAGCAACCGTTGTTGTTGAATGTGAGCATTCAAATATTAACCTCACTTTTGACGTTAGCTATGTACAAATGCCGTATAAGGCATCAATCTCTGCAACTTCACGCAATTGAAATGAATTTTAATTCATTTCCCAATTTGAATGTAAATGGTAATTGAAAATTCAATTTAATGAAATGAAAAATAATAAATTGAAAATTTCAATTTGCATTATTTAATGGTAATTATAATTGAATGAATTGGCATTGTAAAATTCGAAACACTGGTATCACCTACAGCTCCAGGTAAAAATATAAAACGCTCCAGGTAAAAAATACGATAAAATAAAAGTAAAAAAAAAAATGAAAAATACACACATTTTTACATCGATGTTAAAAGTATTATATTTTATTGTATTAATCTATTTCATTGACATAATACTTGATAATGAATTCGTCTAATACATTTTACAAATATGTATTGTATATAAGTCAAGTCTAGGTAATATAGCCAGAATTTCGCAGATGTTCAATTATCGTGACGATTTCTTGTGAGTTTTTTCTATTGGTTTTACACTTTGATGATATTAAGAGTCTCAATCGATCACAAAGTTCATTCGGATCTTTGCAGTTTCCATCTCTAAGATTTTGGTTGTATTGAATGAAGTCGATTTCGTTACGTCCATTGGAATTGTGTGAATTACTTTTAATATGGGACGAATTAAATATTAAAGGTTCATAATTTCTCTGATATGGCATATCATTAACACTTCGTCGTTTAATTGGTTCCAATACACCTTCTTCATCAGAATCCGATTCTCCTTCGGAATCTGAATCTTCAGTAGACTCAAATATGCTTGTACAGCTAGCTATGACACTGTTCTCACCAAATTCTGACATTTGATCCTCAGCAGCGCCAACATCTTTCTCTCTGCGATCCCAGGCTCGTTTAAGTTTTCGTGTTTTTCCATTCATGGTTCTCAATTGATTAGTAAAACTTTTTTTCGGAGATCTTTGTCCTTTTCTAAAAGCATTTGGTGTACGACAATGAATAACTTCCTCTCTCTCCCCCTCACATTCGATATCGGCATCAGTGTCAGTATCATTTCTAAATCGTTTGCGTGAAACTTTTTCAGTATACATCTCATCGCCGTTTTCTTTATCTATTGTAGTTAAATGTTTCAGAATATTATGTTTTTTGTTCTCATTATCTTCTGTATCATCATTAAAAATTTTGTCTGAAGCCAAATCATTTGCGTTACATTCATTTTTAATATCAGATGTAGAATTATCATCACTTGAAATATTTTCTTTATTGTCAGTAGAATGATGATTATAAGCATTCCAGTCATTCATTGACCTGCGTTTGTTGAGACTGCAAAAATTTTTCTTATGCCTAGTGATGGATGATGGCGATAACTTAGCACCACATTCACAAATGTGTTGTATCTTTTTGTGAACACCATCGATATGTCTCTGAATATTATTATATAGCTTGGAACTGTATTCACAAAAATCACACTTATGACCCATCTTCATAGACAATCACCGCTAAACTGAATTAAAAAATACTCATCAGTCACTATTTGGCATTATTCGACAATAGTGAGCAATATATTCAGCATTATTCGGCACTATTCGGCAATATAATCGGCATTATTCGGCACGATTCGGCACTATTCGGCAATA